AGAGCAAAGCAGCTATTCTGCGGCAACTTGACCTTATACAATATTTGCTCTCATTTCCGTAAAGAAACTGATGCACCTCCGATGGCCCCTGGAGCAATGCATACCAGTTAAAAAAGCACAGTATAGAGCATGAACGGGCATCATGAAAGATTGTGTCAAAAGTGATTGTGCTTTACCTTGAAATATATTGTATTTACATAGGTTACTTTCAAATACATTGCACCCGGTGCTCTCACTACTTTGCTTAAAGTACATAACCTCTCATTTACTTTGTAGATTACTTCAAGTACTTTTTAGATGTACTTTACGCAACACTGTACACAAACAAACACTGTCTAAAAGATTAAGCTCAGACGGTGCTAAACCTCAAAGCAGAAATGACACGATTCGCAGTTCATCATTGACCAAACAAACAGAAAGTACAAAACCATCAGGGAAGCAGAAGCAGAACCAGCTATTAAAGCATTTCTGTGCAAAAAAAAAAAAAATAACAAGCGGATTCATATATGGCTAGCACAATTTCGCTAACAGATCAAAACATTTGTACTTTCTTTTTACCATAAACAACATATAAAAGTAACTTCAGAAGTAACTTCAAAAGTAATTCGCTACTTTTTACGGTAATTAGTAATTTTCTCAATTACTTTCTATTTGAGTAATTTCTACTCTACTAAAATTACTTTTGACGTCAATACTTAGTACCTTAACTTAATTACTTTTTTTGCGTAACTTGCACATGTCTGGTAGGAACTAATATCATAATATCCGGGTGTGAGTCGTACTTTCGCTTAGTGTGCTGTCAATCTGCATAGCATTGATTCACTCTGGAGGAATACATTGGAGAAAACTAGAAAAAATACAAGGAGTCAGCAAACAAAATGTAAACCTTTATATGTCTTTAACATTTGTATTTCAAATATTCACACGAGTGACGCAGGCGTAGCATGCTTGCCAAGAGTAATGCGCTAAAACTGAAACACGACAAAATGGTCATTGTTCACTAACAAAACATAATGTACGTGGCTATACCCTGACAACCACAAAAAAAATGGCTCGATAAAAAAATGTATTCATGCTCATGCTATCCATGTTGCGTCTACTTGCACGATACCTCACAGTCATCATCCCACTTTGACTGACATGTAGGCGTTCCTGTAATAGCTAACTAAATACCAATACTCGTTACATACTCCAGAAGTGACTGAGTATGTTACTCGTTACTGCGATTCAAAAGGAACACGTCACCTTAGCTTAAACGTAAGACGTTATATTGTCATTGCTCTGAATGTGTCGTTTTTATAAACTAGTAGCCGCTTCCAATATCTGTCGTAGTTAATAGAGAGTTTTAGTAGATCGTTCCGATGACTCCGATAACGATACCCGATACTCCGCCGCCGCCTTTGCGCAGGCATCGTATCGTTATCGGGGGGTATCGGGAGTATCCAGAACGATCTACTAAAACCCTAACAATTCCTTGCTTTTTAACGCGTTCTCTCATCGATAACTGTGGCCGTACTGACATACCTTGTGCGCATATTTTTACGATCTCTCTAGCGTTTTCTCGTCGTTCAATTAAAGGCGCGAGCTGGAGTGATAACTAGATTAGGTACTTGTGCCATAAAGTTCCCCTCCCGAAGTGTACTAGATACCGTTAGCGTTACCTCCTCGAAAAGTAACGGAAATACGTTACTCGTTCTGGTTCTCAAAAAGTAACTAGGTCGTCACTCCATTGCCAAAACAAGTAGCTTGGTACAAGTCACGCGTTACAATAACGCGTAACGTACAAGTCTGCATTATTCTCACGTAATGAATGGGACCACTGATACCGAATGCCGGGGGATAATGTGCAAAACCGGAGCGCCCCTAGTGACTGAGTGGAATTCTGGGAAAAGAGTGTCAAGAGAGATCTGAGTTTCGGGTTTCTCCACCGTACCGCAGCCAGCCGCAGACACTGAGGATCCCGCGGGCGTGTCTCAAAAAGTCCCATTCACATTTTGCCCTTTCTCGTTTCGACCCATTCTCGTTTGAACCTTCACAAAGCATCCAAACCGATTTTTTCGCGTTTGGTCCCGTTCGCACTAGGACGGAATGGCGCGTACGATTTCAGCCCTGGATTGGCTCCGACAGCTCGTACGCTGCAGTCAGTCGTAAGTGCACCCTCCCGCGACCCGGGAAGAGAGAGACATACGAATCCGTTCTTTGGCACAAAAGAGCAGTTCGGTGTTTTATTGCTCAGCGCCTGCTACCACTTCCAAGCAACCCAACGAGCAGGTCCTGACCTTCGCTGCATGTTTCGAGAGCAGCAGGAACGTATTCCCGGAACTATTAGCCGAACCGCGGGACTAAAGCACATCTGCGTGTGTCTGTGAACGCTTGCTGATAGGCGAGTTGGGAGGGGGAAGCGGCGGACTTGAAGAAGCTACTTCGGAGATATGCGGTGACCCAGCCATAACACCGACACCTCGAAAAGTTCTCGTTTGATCTTTCTTTCCTTGGAGGACGAAGCGCGAAGGATGTAACGAGAATGGATCAACGGCGGCGGGCCCAACCGAGACGGATGTTTTGAAAATGGTCCTTTTGAGAAAGTCCGAACGAGAAGGTCGAGACTAGAACGGGCCCAAATGATAACCACCCTTATCCCGCACCTCACCCCGGCACACCTCGCCGTACGCTTCGTGTTTCGATCCATGTGGGAGTGTGATGCGGCAAGTATACTTTTCTTTCTATGGCTTAATCGGGCGGTGAGTTATTAAAGGACAAAGCAAACTGCATATCCAAAATGAAAGTGAAAGAATATTACTTAAAAACAGAACACAATGATATTGTGAAAGCCCAATGCTAATCTTGGTGATGGCCTAAGTCTATCGAAGTGGAGTTGGTGCTGAAAGCAGCGTTCGCCGATAGGTGGTGAGCTTAGCTTGTTGCGACGTGGTTTGCTTTCGCCTTGAATGTTTACTGTGCATTAAACTCACGAGAAGGAACGTATAGTTTTACTGCGTCGCTTGCGCATGTAGATCAATCTACAAAAACTACGTCGAGGTACGCTGCGCTAAGTGCGTGCAAAGTGCAGGTTCGCGGCGCCCGCGGTTGGCCGCAGTACGATGGAACAAACCAAAACTCGGCTTTTCGGCAGTCGTTCCCAGAATAGCCCTCAGCCGCTAGGGTCGCTTTAGTTTTGCACATTGTCCATCGGCTGTATGTTAAAACTTCCATCTCAGTACTTGACTGGTTCAATACTCCTAGTGTTACGTATAACAACAGGAACCGCATTCGATTTGTCCGTTCCCAACGTGAAATCCCACCTTTGGCCCGGGTTCTTCATCGGTTATCAAGCTGATACTTTAAACACTATATTCCCCTATAGCCTCGGTCACAGGAGGCAATAAAATTGGGATTTTGCAACAAAGTGAAGATTGAATGAGTAATGGGGGTGCGATAGTAATATTTTGGGGCGAGGAATACTTCGTGTGTACACCAGTTCTGAAAATCTGTACCCATGCACTCTGTATTCTTAAATAACTACCAAAATTGCCCTACTAGTGACAATTGTTTTAAAGGGCAACTCCGCTTCATTTTTGGTTTTCGAAAAAAAAACAAAAACATTGCAGTTCTCTTTAGTATCGCCCACGAAGACCACACGTCAAATATTACGACTTAGTTCCGTCTAAATGTTTCTTAAACGGTCCAGCAAGCTTTGCAACTCGCCAAGTTGCCGAAATCGGCTGACTCGAGCGGGCGAATTGAGGCTCAACCAACAGCGCAGTCAAGGCTACGGCGTGGGTGTAGCCGAAATTGAGCCAAACGTCATCACGATTTGCTTGTTTTTCTTCTCTGGGCAAGCGTAACGGGTGACGTCAGCAACGTTTGCTCTCAGCGCTCAGCGGTGTCCACGTGATTGGCGTAACGCGCCTGTGCATCGAGCTTTTTGGGAGCCGTCCGGCCGCCCCGCCGTGGTCCCGCCGTTACCGCCGTTTCCCGCGTCAGAACCGTTGTCGTCGTTTCACCGTTTGTGATTATTGTCTCTCGGAGTTTCGTTCACACTACGAACATTACGTGCGCAGACTTATGCCGCAGTTGTGCAGACGTCGTCGAATGTCGTAGACACCAAAACGTGGTGAAGAGTGCGATGCAGACGACACTTTCGCCTCACACGCCCGCCCCAATCCCGCTTGTCGTTGCGTAGAGGATCACGTGACATCTCGTACCACGTGATGGCCATGTTCTTGGCAGCCCGATACCAATGTTGCCGGACGGAACCAAAGTTTAGTTTTGATTTCTGCTCGTTTTTAAATTTAGATTTAAAAATATATAGATCATTTTTCGCGAAGCAATTGACATAGTGTCTTTTACTAGAACCTTTGAATGCGAAACCGATCATTATCTCGAAGTCTTCGGAATTGAGCAGAGTTGCACTTTAAACGAACACTTAAGCTCTTGACGATGGAAGCTGAATACGCGAAATTGCCCGCTAAACGTGGCTACTACGACGTGGATGAATCAGCTTCTATTTAAGGTTTTTATAATACAAGAAAAAAACGACAGTCGCCGCTATTTTTGCAGTGTGCCACCGGTTGCGTCAACGGGGCACTCTAGACATACGCGGATAACCCTTTTGAGCTCCCAGGGAATCTGCTGTCGGTGCGACCCTTCTGAGCAGAAAAGCTACGACAGCCTAGATTAGTCGCTTTCCTTCCAAAGTACGTATTAAAAAGGGTACCTTTTATTTGGAGTCATCGTTTTGGTTGACCCCGGAATACTCTTTTGCACCGGGGCTTAGTATGGACATATATCCCTAGAGATTGGGGGCAGATTGGAAAGACACAAGCACGAACCTCTAAACTGGAGGATGGTGTCTATGCTTGCACCTTTTTATCCCCGCCTAGAGAGCTTCAGTGAAAAAAACGGTGAAAAAACTGAGGATTAAGGGAAGGAGCACACGGACAGAACGCTGTGACTGTGTGCTCCTTCCTTTATTACTTCAAATTAAAGCGCCGTTTTTTTTTGTTTTTTTTTCACGCAGCTTTGTTAATTTATCTAGCCCAACTCCACACCTTGTTGCAGCTCCTTTATCAAGATGCATGTCTATGATATTGGTTTCGCTTTTATCTACTTTCACAGACTAAAAGGATCGGTGTTCGCGCGGAGTCATTGTCGCGGACAGTTCGGGCGAATAGCACTTTCTGGCACGCGGCCTGTAAAAAGGCACTATCCCCTTTAGCTTGACGTCCTACAAAATGCTCCTAACAATTGAAACTCATTCAAAGTAAGAAATTCCACTGTAAATATCAACTTTTCTTACAGAAGCAATACTTCTCCCACCTGTTCCCCTTTGCACACTTTGAATGCGAACTGTACCAGTCCAAACGGTCTGCTTGCTGGATGAGCGAAAAGTCCGACACTTTCCAGTCCACAGAATGCTTCACGGTCGCCTCGAAGAGCGCGTCGTTGGGCAGGGCCGAAAACTTGACCCAGTATGTGCTGTCAGTGCTATTGGCCTTACCGGTCGCAAGTGTATCGTTCGGGTAGAAGCGAATGTCCAGAAGGGATTTGAGCTTCCACTGCTCACACTTTCCCTTCATCTCCTTTTCCACAAGAGCGTTCACGGTGGCGATGACGAAACGGGCGACTTTCTGCGAAAGCGGATGGCGAACTGGAAACACTTCGGACCGCACGCACGTACAGAACTGGCTCGGAATAGAGGCACTTTCGCAGTTCCTGTCTTCCGGCAGCTCGTAGAATAAGCTCTGGCCGTGCTTGGTCACCGTCTTGGGCAGCTCTGAGCTCAAAAGCTGCAGCAGTGTGGCGTGCACGTCAAAGTGAGTGGCCAGCCTCCGCTGGTTCACTCTCAATCCTTCGGCGAATTCGGGATGCTCCCGTAGGAACCAGTCCGGGAAAGCCAGGAAGGCGAATGGTAGACTGTCTTCGAAGCGGCCGATGTACGTCTGTCGCTGAGAACCGAAGCGGAGTCCGTGATCGCTAAGAAACACCAGCACCGTATTGTTGAGGACGCCTCGGTCGTGAAGCTTGCCAATGGCGTTCCTAAAAGGCGCATCGCTGTGGCCGGCCATGTTCAGGTAGTCGTGAGCGAGCTCGCTCATCCAGACGTACGCGAAAAACGGACGCTTGTCGAACAGGTCGATCAACTTCAGCATGTAGTCCAGGTACATGTCTAAGGGCGGACTCGGACCAAGACAGTAACCATTCTTCTTCAGGCTTGACTTGTCGATGGCCATAATGGCGTGGCGTGCGTAGTAGTCGGTCGGGGTGTCTTTCAGCCCGTTGGCCAAGTACGTGTAGAGGCCGTACTTTGGCTGCTCCTCGTAGAAAACGGTCCGGTATCCTTTCTTCCTATAATCCTTCCACAGAAAGTTCAGCCCGTCATAAAACTTTTTGACGGAAATATTCTTTGCTTCGGGTCCCGAAAGGCCGGTCAGAAGCGGCGTCTGATTGGGGAACGAGTTCAGTCCCACCTTGTTGTAGCCGAACAGCTCGTAGGCCTTAAGGACGTCACGCATGTACTTGCCAGTCGCTGGCAAGTGGCGATTGAAGTTCAACCTAGACACGGAGTCCATTCCCAGAACGAGAACGTTTAGCCCGCTCCCGGTGTCGTTCAACTGCTGTCTCGTCCGCTCGCAGCGTTCTTCCACGTCGGCCTTCAGTAAGGGTAGGAGGAAAAACTCCTGGTGGAACTCTTTCTTCCCGGCAAAGCATTGCACGTGTATGTACTCCGCCGTTATCGGCTTTCCAAATTCAAGTGTAGTGTTTGGCGTGAAAAAGAAATGAAAATCTGGATATTTTATGGATTCGTTGCGGTATATCTCCCTGTAAAAGCAACTGATGTCCCTCCGCTTGAGCTTGAAAGTTTTCCCGAGAGCGATGTCGTCGCTGATCGGCGTGGTCCTGTTGACGAAACGAATGAAAGACGGCTTTCCTTTGCAACTGTAACGACCGACCTTCTTGTAGAACTTTCGCACGCTGTCATCGAAGGGATCGAAATCCGGTATCTTGCACCCCGACGTCTTCACAACGTACTTCCTCTCTGCTGGGCCGTTCGTACTCGATAGAGTTGGCTCTGTGGGCGGGGCTTTTGTGGAGTTTTGGGGACTAGAGGTAGGGGTCGGGCTGCTGCTGTTTGTGCCAGACGCGTAGGCGAATCCATGCTGGCTGTCGATATCTGTTAGCGCCTTCTTGTGGATGCAGTAGTAGCTGAACACGACGAGAGATCCCAGGAGCAATGCTCGAAGCACAGATTTTTCTGGCTTGATCATTTAGCCGGGCCGGCTCATGGGACCTGCACAGACGAAAGAAAAATGTTCACGTAAAATTAATTATTACGATGTCCTCATAGCGAGTTAGCAAATGGTGGTAAAAGACCTCACGCACAACTCTTCTAATACAATGCGTCACTCAACCAACAGTCAATTAATCCCGAAAGAGGGGGGCTGTTTCAGACATAAGCTTATCTATAACTTACAACCATATTTACCCGAACCTTTCATTAATCACCTCTACTAATGCGAGAAAGTCTTCTGGGTATATTGGGTTTTTGACAAATAGGAAGAGCAAGTTTTACAATAAACAATGCACTTTTATTCGAGGGTAGTTTTGTTTCTCGGGAGGGGGATCGTCGTTAACAGCATAAATTTAGGTTGTTTTACAAATACTATAAACGAGACAACTAATCAATATTGTACGAAGGCCATAAAAGAGGCACTGAATACATGGCTTGCACTGACGTCACATCGCCTACTTTGGACCACCATGTAAGAGGAGGAGAAGGAAGCTGCTTTTGTAAGAATTTTGAGTGACGGGCTACTCTTCTATAATCTTTTGGGAGAAGGGTAGCGACGTCTGTGCAAATCCGGGAGGCACAAAAGAGGATCCTGGTAAGAGGGGTGCTCCTTCCTCTCCTCTCTGGTGGTCTTCGGAGCGCTCTTTGAGTGACGTCAGCTGCAAGCCATGTATTGTAGGTGTGATGAATCTTTAAAGACCTCGAAGATGAGTTCTGAGTAGATCATAAGCAGTCTGCTTGAATATATATATTAATCACTGGAGTTGAAAAAAAGAAGTGATCAAATTATGTTTCTGAGGACCGAAGAAATGGATAGGAGGCTAAAGCTCTTAATTATTCAGGAGATGGCTGACATGATTCAACGGAAGAAGGATGTATACACAAAATACGTATTTTTTTTCTATCCATCCTAACAATAGAAGACGCTGCGATTGCGCATTATCTGAAAGATCTTTTGTGCGCCTTGATGAATGCTGTTTCTATGACAATCGCTCAACTTTGCGCTCACAATCGACCCCGGTGCAGTCTCAGTGCTTTCTCGAAGCTTCGCGAGCTTGCAGAAAGGTAACAAAGGGTGTCGGTGCACGTTTGCCCGTCAACGACAATATAGGGAGCGCGCGGCATCTAAAGCGATAACGCACAATTCAACAAGTTCCCGCCAAATAACTCTGCTGGGGGCCGCATCGCGGCGCCACTGTCTTGTCGCACGAGAAAATTGGCTTCAAAGGGCGGGAGGAATCATATGTTTGTCTTTTTAGACTTAGGCTAGGTGGCGCAAACTACCGCACGTTACAAAGGGTATAGCCATAGAGAGAAGCAGGAACATAATAAGCCACGCCCTGCAGTAGTTACTTTGTGAGTGAAGACGGTTGGGTTTATTGCGTTCATGCGCTGCCTCATTCGTTCTTTGGCGATGATAATGAGTAACGCAGCACTCTGATTGGCTGCGCGGAGTGATAACGGGAAGCGTGCGACAAGACAGTGGCGCCGCGGTGCGGCGCTCAGCAGAGTCACTTGGCGGGACCTTTGGTTGGATCAGTGCGTCCGCTTTAGATGTCGCAAGCTCCCTATACGTAGAGCTGTAGGCTCGAGCGTGACAAAAACACGGAAGAAGTAGTCGTAATAAAAATTGTGCAATTATCGAAGCTAGGAGTGAATAAATTCGAACTCTAATTGCTTTAAATGGGAAGTATTAAATCGGAAATACAAATAAGTTCAGAAATGATTGAATTGCAGTAGTTTATCGACTGTAATTGAATTACTGCCAAAGTAGGATTATGGATCGTTGCGTCGCCTGGTACACACATAGAGGGCCGTGCACCGCCACTTATGTTTGGTGAAAGACAGTGCGTTGCTAATGATGTTCAGGCTCCGTGCCTCGTGATGTTTGTTATTGATGACAGAGTATTTTGTTTCACAACAACGAGCATAGCATCGAAGAATGCAGAAAATTTATCTGGTATATCCCGTACGTTTTTCTGAATTCACTTCCCGCTTATTCTGAATTTTGAGTATTACAGTTACCATCTTTCTCGTTCTGGCTGACGATAAAAGTACCCCGTGAGGGCGATCTTTATCGAGAGGTGGTTGGAACTCCAACCGCCTATTGCGGGGCTGTCCATACTCATGTCCGTTGTTGAGAACCGCCTTAATATGCTGCGTGGCTGGTCCTAATCTCTTAACGACCCGTATTGACATGCGAGCTATACCTTCTCAATTTATTGACCTTCCTCGGAAAGATACCCACCTCGCTCGAGCACAAGAGCGACGTGTTCTATACATATATAGGTCACTGAAATGCTTTGGTCCAAAGGTCAATCAGCCTATAAGGTGCGCGATATATTTTCTCCATTCTTTTTAGTTTTCATCAAGACAATATATAGCACCGCGGCCCATGGTGAGACAGACACGCGCAGCGGTAATGCCTCGGGCACTGTGACATCGATCACGGGCATGCCCCAACGTTCGCGAAAATCGTGATGAAAAGACGTGCGCTGCCTACGGCGGGTGGCGCGGCTCAAAAGTCCCCCACCCAGGGCCGCCCTGCGCGTGTCCTGAATCCTCAGTCGACATTTCACCACCCGCCAGCGGACACGGGGCTGTTATGAACCGGGAACACCCTTTTTAGAAGCAGTATATGAATTGAACGCAGCCACTGGTACATGTGTGCGCTTGTTCATTTCCAAGTGGAAGGCCGGCGCACACACGGGCCTAAACATCATCGCACTTGAAAAGAGAACCACCCGGTTATTGATGATAAGCTACGTTAAGGTGGGAAGCACATGGTTGCCACATCTAAAGAGAATAAATGTTATCAGATACGTAGCATACAGGGTGTTTTTTGCCTTCAGACTGAAGTATATTTTGTGTGAATTTAGTGTATGTGTAATATTTTCTTGTTCATTTTTCTTATTATTTTAATAGGTTGGGTAGCGGGCTGGCAGGCGCACTTGCGTCTGCCAACACGTCCCAGAAAGGTTAAAACCCGACTCGGGCTTTAACATTTCTGCCGGACCTGGCGATAAAACTACTTTTACTGTGTGACCGATCGCTCTAGCTGTCAATTACCTCATGTGAATAAAAATATGTGAAAGATGTGTGTTAGTTTCATGAAACTGGAACTCATAGTCAATTCTGGTATAGGACACTGCTAAGTGTAGGCTTTGGAAAAGGACCCTATTTTGGGGAGAGTGTATTCTTTCTTAATCAAATAATGCGATATGTCTTTATTGGAAATGAATGCCGAAATAAAATATGACAAAATACCCACATTAAAGAAAAAATCTGTTTTTTTTTTTTCATCGGAATTTTTTGTTGTTTGATTTTTTTTACTATGTTTGCCAAAATATATCACGACTATCGTATCACTCAGACACCTAATATATATTTTAAATATGAGCCACATACAACTAGAATACTATCTGAACAGTATATGATGGTTATTAAATTATTCCATGAGATACAGCCATCCAAATTTTGCCATTTGTCGTTCGAGCAGGCATGTTTGGCAATTTTCAGAAAAATAAATATTGTTTAAATAAATATTATTACTATATATTACAAGAAATTTGCACCCATAGTTAGTTTCTAAAAAGTATTGGAATTGTCCTAATTTTATCGTTTTAGTTAATTCCATTCAAACGTTAACTCCATCACTGCGTGTTATGCAACTGTCCACCTCTTCATGCCTTACGACTTTTCCTATCCCCAGCTTTTTTTTTTTTTCTGATGAAAACTAAGTGTGGGTTTATTTACACCAGCCACTACACAATAGCATATAAAAACATCAGTTGATTTAAAACTGCCGATCAGGCACCCTTTTGTCGATCTTATCTGAAATCACCCAATTGTGCTACATTACGTCTGCCAAGTGCTTTCCAGCAAAGCAGCTGGAAAAGCCAATCGCTGTAATGTATACGGCAGGAACTCGCTGAAGAATGAGGTTGATACAGTGATGTTTCGTTCATACGGAGCCCATATTACCGGGGACGAACTGGAACGTACACTTCTGTCAGACTTATGCAAAAGGTAGTGTTATGCGAATATTCAAATTTTCAAATAGTAGTTTCATATAATACGCTATTCGGTATTCGCTTCGAGATTAACCGCGATATTCTCGTGCATTATGAACAACTCACATAATGGGACGCTTTTTGGGGGAAATGGAGCTGTTTTGTTCAGACCTAAAAAGAAAACAGTCTGCGCAGTGCAAATGAGGATGAAGTTTACGCCATGCGAATTCTCACACCACCCACTGTCTTTTTTTTTAATATAGTTGTAAACATATTTTTAAGCATCAACAATCTCAGAGCTTTTTCTTAGTTTGCAGCGATTGGCGGTGCCGAAGGTTTTGCGGAAGACGCACTGGATTTTTAGAGAGCTGCGCCACGCCACCAGGGCCGCGCGGCATGATGTTTCCATGACGTCATCAGGCAGAAATCGAGGAGCCACAAATGAGGACGTGTTAAACGTAAAAGTGTAGGGTGCTTTCACATGACTTCTATCCACCATTTCGTTGTTAGATGTCAGCGTGATGAAACTTATATAAGGTTTTGTGCACTGTAACAATTTGAGGATGTAATCTGAATCTTTGGAGTGCTCGCCTTCTGCACGTGCCAGACTACTCATAACAATGAAATGATGGACGAAATGACGACGGTGAAAGCACCCTATACGAGTTCCGGGAATCGGTAAAGGTGACTCCATGCTATAGGCTCAGCCGAGCGTGTTTAGAGAAACTGGTCTCCCGCTGCAACGATCTTCAAACTTTTCAATAGACCTTTTACTAAATAGACCGATCTTACTAATCGTTCGGCGCATACGTGGCGCCACCATAAATTTAGTTCACAGGCGGCAGAGGGCCTTGAATGCGATGGTGCCTTCATGTGCGCAAAGCGAACATGAAGGCTCCCTAGAATTCGAGGGCTCTTGCAGTTTCGTGCTCTATTCGCGCAGAGCTCCAGCGGGGTTGTCGCGGGTGCAGAAAGACTAAAGTTCCC